CAATCAAATCCCCCTCCCTCGTCAGCCCAAAGAGCAATCTGGGTTCTCTGCCCTGTGGGAAGTCCAAGGACCACCCTCCTCCATCCAGGTCTAGTAAAGTGAGCATCCAAACTGCCTAGGCTCCCACAAAGCCAATACGTGCAGTAGGATCAGAAACCCATTGCCATTGTTCTTGAGGTCTCAATAGTCCTCATTGTCCGCCATGTTCAGTGAGACCGCAGGACTGCAAGGGGTGCACCCTTGTCTGTTTTGAGGTAGGGCCTCTCACTGAGACCTGCAGCTCACTGGTGAGGCGGGGCTGGCTGGCCAGTGAACTCAGGCTTCTCTGTCCCCAACTACCCTGTGCTGGGATTACTAGCATGGGCTATTACAGGTGGCTTTTTTAAAACTTCAACTTGAGTCCTCATGCTTGTGTGACAAATATTTTATGGATGGAGACGTCCCCTAAGACCTTGTATTGTTTTTAAGAGGCTCATGTAGCCCAGGCTAGCCTTGAACTCAATATGTACCCAAGGCTGGCCTATTCTCCTGGCTCCACTTTCTGAATGCTGGGATTATATGCCTGGTCCAAGAATTTTTTTTGCTGGGACTTGCCACCAAACACCCAGTGTAGTGGCACAAAGTGAACCCACGTGGGGGTGGCCTACTGAAGCAGGTGCCAAGGAGCCCATTGCTAGCTCAGGAATGTCATGTGTCAGAGGACTTGAGGGGTTTGTGGCCTCACAGTTCTTAGTTCAGAGAGAACAGGAGGGGGTGAGCTGGCTGAAAAAGCTGATGGCTTCTGTCCTGCCATGTCCCCACCTCCTCTGGCTCCTTGCAAGGCAGGTGTGATGTGGCCTTCAGGGCCAGGGCTCTGGGCCCTGCGTAGAGATCCCAGATCGTGGCTGTGGGGACGGGGTTGGCCCTGCCCCTGGTTTCTTGGCATGACTTTGGGTAGACCTATCCTTCTAACTCAGGTGCTGGGGCTATGGGTAGGAAGTGCCTTAAGAGCTGAAAACCCCTCCACAGCTTCGCTATCACCTGGCCTGGAGCTTTCTATTCAGCGAGAGCCAGGGCAGGCAGCCAGGACTGACTGGGACACAGAGCAGCCCCTACCCTTGTCAATCACCCCCATGTGGACAGCTGATCATATAGTGGCAGAAGTTTGCCTAGTGCCAATGATAATGACATGTGTTCCTCTTGTGTATGCGGCTATGACCTGCCCCGTCTCCCTGCAACCTGCAACTCTCTGCTTTAAAGAACACGAGGCTTTTAAAAGTCACTGCCCAAACCAGGCACAGTGACACACACACACACACACACACACACACCTTTAATTTTAGTGCTTGGAAAGCTGAGGCAGGTGGATCATTGTGTGTTTGAGGTCAGCTGTTCTAGGCCAACCAGGACTACAGAGTGAGATTCTGCCAAAAATAAATAAATGAAATAAAATAAAAAGAACATGGTTGTCAGGTGGCCTTGAGCCAACAAGAAAAAATAGAGGGAAGCCAGGCAGAAGCAGGCAGAAGCCCTCTGAGGCCTCCCTATCTGAGGTCCTTTCATCCTCCCCCAGAGGTCTCCTTGAGACCCGCCCTCGTGATGGTCCCCTGTTCTCTACAGCATCTGACCCGAGGCCGCTCTTTCTTCCCCCTCCTCCCAAAGCTATCCACGGGAAGAACCTGGTGTCCATCCTTCACCTCCTCGTCTCCCTGGCCATGCACTTCAGGGCCCCCATCCACCTTCCCGAGCATGTCACCGTGCAGGTGGTGGTCGTCCGGGTGAGTACACTGGGCCGTCTCTTCGCCCGCCCATCTCTCTGCTGGCGAGGCAAGCTGCCTCTTTTTTCTTCTTGTAGTTTTCCAGCCCTTTCCCCCAATCCCGAGAGGCTACCTTGTATTTTTTCCCTCTTGATAAAATGCATATCTCACCCTGGCTCTTTGAGAAATGATTGGAGAGGGAACAATGGCGTTGATTTGGAGAGTGGCACACGGGTGTTGAGGTTTAATTTCCCAGATTTCTGAAAAGAACGCTCATTTCTCTCCAAAGCCACCGAGTCGGAATCCAATCCCCTTGAATGTGCTTATTACACACTGGAGGAGGCTGCGACCGGCAGAGTGAAATAGACACCCAAATTAAAGGCTCTCCACATTTGCTCCGTATTAGAAGCCATCATTCCCCATTATCTCTTCTTTTAGGTTCATTTCTCTTGATTTACTTAGAGAAGTGAGCCAGGACCTGGGGTCCTGGTAATGGGGCAAGGCGTAGATTTTCCATGCGTGCTGTCCTGGGCTTTAGCATTCAAGCACACAGATGCTGGCCTGACTTGGTTCCTGTGCATGACTTCAATGTATTAAATACCTACTGGGTGCCGGGCATATGCCTGAATTTGTGGGGACCCTGAATGGGGAAATCCCATTTGGCCTGGAAGAGCCACTGTGTCTGGCAAAGGTCTGAGGTCACAGTTGGGACCTGTGTGTCGCTGGTGTTTACGTTACTGGAGACGCCCAGTTTCATTCTGTTCTCTGAATTTTTAACTTATCTGTTCTGTGGTCTGTGGTCCATGACAACCTGGCTGAGCCTGGGTTTTCTGAAGCCATACTGACCTCTCTTCTACCCTGGGAGCTTAGTCGTATCCTGCTGGGAAGGCCCTTTCTGATATTAAGTGAAGATCACCTGCCATTTCTTCCTGCTTCCTTCCCAATCAGGATGTTTGTGGTCGGCGAGAGTGACGCAGACCCAGGGGGACCATTCCTGTGGCCCTAGTCTTGGCTGCCTGCTCACAGGCAGCAGGCTGGGAAAGGCTTCCCAAGGACACAGGGGAAAAATGGTTCCTCAACCTACCTACGTCAGCCCCAGGCCCCAAGAGTGCTGAGTGGGCTCACTGTCCAAGTATTTCCTTTCAGTCTTACACATTGGTCCAAGACAAACTTGGGTTTTTGGAAAGTCTGACCCCTTCCAGCAAGTCCCCTCCAGAATGCTGTGCCTTGACCAGGGATCCTGAGCTATTAGCACAGAGCCCAAAGTAGAAGAGACCTCAGTGAGGAAATCCAGCTGGACGGCAGCTTCTTAGAAGTCACCCCCCCCCAGGCCCTGCTCAGAACTTCTTTCCGCCTCTCCTGAGATCCTCTGGGCTGTCCATATGCTTGCTCAGGTAACCCACTGTCTTACTTGAGATGGGGCAAAGCGAGACATGGGGCATTTCACAGCTGGAAGACAGGAAGCCCAAACCTTGCTTACCCCCAGCAGTGGAAGCGTTGGGCTCTCGATTGCTTTTGCCTCTTGATTTCCCTACAAACTCTGTGTGATGTTGCTAACCATTCGATTATCCAGCTCTAAGTTTACCAATGACTTCCCTAATGCCCAGCAACTAATTGGTCCCTCATTCACGCTTAGCATGTAAATAGGTGAACCAAACACCTAGAGTCTTATTTGGCGGGCTCTTGTGTATCAGTTGGCACAAGGCCCGGGGGTGAGCCAAGCTGAGGTCGCCAGCTGCCATTACTTGTTAATAAGAACGAGTCTACAAGATCCCTGCAGGCCAGATCAGGGAAGCTTGTGAGGGGCTTTTGGTTAGAACAGATTTCTGTCCTTCAGAAGCTTCAAGCAGGGGTCTGAGGTTCTGGTTTCTTTGGCTGGCCTCCGCAGAGTCCCAGTGTATTTGGGTTGGCATCCACTGTCCCTCTGCCCTCCTCCTGGCACCTCTGTGTACTTACCAAGGTTGCTGGGGTGAAGCGCCACTAATGGGGTGAGTGGGGCTTCAAGTGGCAGGTGGATTTCTTCTCCCAGTGCTCCTGGCTTCAGGAAGCAGTCCTCTTGGCCCCGTTCGGCTTCTGCTGGCTGTCTTTAGTGTCCCGGGTTCATGGCTGTAGTCCTTTGTTCTGCTCTTTCGTGTTCAAGAGTGCCGCTCATCCCAGCTTCAGAGTTCATCGCTGCTCATTATTCCGCGGCCTCTTTTCACCGGTATTGAAAGCCACCAAGGAAAAAAACAAGTTGCGAGGCCCTGGGTAGACGCATTTGGGGCTTTCTGTATGGCCCGTTGCTCACATGTTCTTCCTCTGGTGTTTCCCCAGCATGCCTCATGAACTCCCTGATTACCCATGTTCCCCATCCCAGCTGCAGAATAGGAGCGTTATTTGGTGTGTCCTTCCTGGGACATTTCTCTTGAGCCTTGCTTAGTCGCCATATCCCAGGGCACCATGGCGAACAATTTGGGGACAGTCACAGGCACTGAAAGGGTCTCCCTTGTGGTCACCCGGAGTATACCTTCCTTGGGCATGAAGAGTACACTGGGTTTGTGACCCTTTCTAGGCTGGCATCCTGCCCAGGGTGAGGGGACTTTCCATGAGGTTAGCAGGTGCTCGCTACTCCACTCCTGCCCCACGATCTATGCATTGATCTGCTTGCTTTGCGGTTTTCAGAAGCGGGAAGGCCTGCTGCACTCCAGCCACGTCTCAGAGGAGTTAACCACGACCACGGAGTAAGTGAATGGCGACTGACCCTCAGGGTTTTGTACCTCATGTCAACTGACCCTTAGGGACCCATGCCCCATGTGAGCCAGGCCCTGACTCTGGCTTCAGCCAGGGACGCTGGCCTGGGGGAGCCTGTATTTCTCCATATTCTTTAATCTTGGTGTATGCTTTTGTTGTGTACTTCCTTCCTCAACACATTTCCTTCTGGGCTTTCTGTGTCAGTCTCTACCATCGGAGGCTGATTTCTTATTTTAGAAGATGAACCGAAGGGATGGGTTCAGTCAGCAAAGTGCTTGCTGTGTGAGTGTGAGAAACTAATCCTCTGCACCCACATTTTTAAAAAAAATTCAAGCAGGCGGATCTCTGTGAGTTCGAGACCAGCCTTGTCTAGAAGAGCTAGTTCCAGGACAGGCTCCAGAACCACAGAGAAACCCTATCTCGAAAAACAAAAACAAAAACAAAACAAAAAAAAATTCAAGTGCAGTAGTGCATGTCTGCTGGAGAGATGGCTCAGTGGTTAAGAGCATTACCTGCTCTTCCAAAGGTCCTGAGTTCAATTCCCAGCAACCACATGGTGGCTCACAACCATCTGTAATGGGGTCTGGTGCCCTCTTCTGGCCTGCAGGCATACACAGACAGAATAATGTATACATAATAAATAAATAAATATTTAAAAAAAAATAGTGCATGTTTGTAATGCCATCACTGGGGTGGCAGAGACAGGAGGATTTTGGAGCCCATTGGTCAGCCTGTCTAGCCAAATCAGTGAGCTCCGGGTTCAGTGAGAGACCCTGCCTCAAAAAACAAGGTGATGAGTCAGTCTCTGCCCTGCGCACACAAGTGTGTGTGTGTACACACACAACACATACATTACATACAATTTTAAAAAACTAAGCCAGGCAGTGGTGGCATACACCATGAATTCCAGCACTCGGGAGGCAGAGGCAGGTGGATCTCTATGAATTTGAGGCCAGCCTGGTCTTCAGAGCTAGTTCCAGGACAGCCAAAGCTACATATAGAAAGCCTGTCTCAACCCCCTGCCCCCAAATTTGAAAGAATGTCAGGGGTATCAGGTGTGCTAGCTCAGGATGGCCATGGAGCCTGTCATGTCTTGCTTGTTTCCTAATCTTCATCTGTCAACCACCAGTTGCTCCTTTAGAGGGAGGAGCCATGTGACTAGTCAGAACTGACCTATGGTGGACACTGTTGAGTCTTCTGGTCTCTTTGAGAAAGCTAGAATTTTTAGAAGCCTCGAGGAACTACACCCTAATAACAAACCAGGTAGTGCACCGTGTGTGAGTCCCCACAGCACCCATGACAGATCCTAAGCACTCACTGCTTTTGCCCCTCCTGACTAAACCTGTTTCAATAGTTAAAGCATTGCTGGTGTCAGCTAGCTCACCAGCTCCATTCGCGCAGATGCCACGGCTGTGCGTCTATAGCCTTTCAGCAGCTGACTGGCACAGAATCCACTCAGGCATGGTGAGTGGGCTGCCAGAGGAGTAGAAGTTATGGCAGTGTGCCCTGCGATGTGTGTGTGTGTGTGTTCTGTCCTGTATCCCGCAGCCCTCGGGGAAGGGCAGGGAGCTGGGGGGGTGTGTGTCAGGTGTGAGTGTGTTGTGGCTGCAGAAGGGTGAGTCCCGGGAATGCACAGCCGGGTGGGGGCTTGGTGGTCTGACTTGAGATACCACCCCTGACAAGCCTGCAGACAGCCATGTGAATGGGCTCAGGCAGGCAGTTTGCTAACCTTGCTGTATGATGGGTCCTGTGGTATCTGCATCCGAGGGCTTCCCATGTCCTGATGGACCCAGGGAGCTTCTCATATTGCCTTTCCTCCTCACGGGCTGAGTTTCAGCTCTCTTTCCCCCGTGTTCTGAGAGGCTGAGTACCCTCATCCTGGCCCCATCCTGGATTCCTGACCGGTGCCTTTTCTCTGTGGGTCATTCTGAGATAGGGATTTGGGAGAACATACTCCACCTAATGACCTGGAGTGGCCAGGGCCTGTATGGCTGTGGGAAGTAGCTGAAGCACAGTCTGCACAGGGCGAAGGGGACCAGAGAAGTCAGCAAGAGGTGTTGGGGGTTCTACAGTCATCAGGGGCAAAACCTGAAAGTGGAGAGAGATTTGGCCGATGCCCTCCTAACTGCCCACCATCTGTGCCCAGCACTCCAGAGGCCTGCTGTGTACCTGCCAAAGCTGGTCATGGAAGAGCAGGGCAGGTGGAGGACATGGTTCATCTGTTCCAGGGCTGACAAGGAGACAGTTGGGATGAAAGATCAGACAGAGGGAGAACTTGGGAGGTTCTGTGCCCATTGTGGTGTTTCCAGGGGCAGGAGCACCCTGGAGTCAGGGATGGGGACACTTGAGTTGAGCCATTTCTGCTGGATGCCAGACTCTTCTACGTAGCCAAAGGAGGAGCTGAGATGTCTCTAGTCCCTTGTCTGCTGTCATCCTCTTATCTGACCTGGAGTTTACTCTCTTTTATCCACCCCCACCCCCATCCTTGTGGCCACAGCGGCCCTGATGGATAAGTAGAGCATCAGGTGCCTGCCAAAACTACAATGGTCCATCAACATCCTTGCTGTGCACCTCTGGCTATATCCTGTCTGTATCCTCTCTGGTGCACATACCTTTGGGGATGCACAGGCCTGAGGTTATTGGGTTTTTTTTTTCTGTTGTTGTTGTTTGTTTGTTTTTTTTGGGAAAGGGTCTTAACTATGTGGACCAGGCTGGCTTTGAACTCACAGAAATCTGCCTGCCTCTGCCTCCTGAGTACTGGGATCCAAGTTATGCATGCTACACTGGGCACACTGTTAACACTTGGCTCCTATTTTCCCTCTGTCTTTCCCAGAGGGCTCTCCCTCCAGGAAGCCCTTCCAGCTTGCCAGCTGGAAGGAGTGAATGGCCTTACCATTCCCGTAGTCTTTCACGATCTTCCTTGTTACCCGCTCTGAGCTGTGGAGGAGAAACTCTGGCCAGGTCCAGGTTCAGGGTGTTTGGTTCTGTGTCTTTATTTCATGCACATAGTGGGTCTTTCCAGTAAGTATTTACTGAGACGGAGCCCAAGCCCTTGCCCTAGAGGTTGCTGCCTAGGGACTGAATGCATCTCTTAGTTTCAGGTAGGGGACATGTGGGTGGCAGCTGGAAGTTGGCTCCAGGACCATGACTCATGGTGGCTGGGTTAGCTGCAGCCAAACTATCTTAGTTTTCTTTCCATGGTTGTGATAAACACCGTGACCAAAGGCACCTGAGGGGGGAAATGGCTTACTCCAGTTTCCAGCTGTAGTCTCACCATTGAGAGAAGTCAGGGCGGGAACTCAAGGAGGGAACCTGGAGATAGACACTGAGGCAGAGGTCGTGGATCCAACACGCCCACACAGACATACATACAGGCAGAACAGCAACAAGTAAAAATAAAAAAAGCCCCACGGAGTCTTCGAGGAACTCTCAAAATTCCCTCCAAAACTTCACCAGTGGGGTTTCCCAGCATTATTTTCCAAGTTCTCACAACGGCTCATTAAGCTTTAAGCAAATGGCTTTTCTAGCCCAAAGTTCCAGACTCCTTCCATCCTCACCCTCTAGCCCAGTGGTTCTCACCCTTCCTAACACATTTAACCCTTTAATACAGTTCCCCACGTTGTGGTGACCCCAACCATAAAATTACTTCGTTGCTACTGCACAATTGTAATTTAGCTGCTGTTATGAATCGTAAGTATCTGATAGGCAAAATGTCTGATCTGTGAACCTGGGAAAGGGTCATTGGGGCCCCCAAAGGGCACACAACTCACAGACTGAGAAACACTGCTCTATCTGATGGGTACGGCTGTGAGACAATTTGACCAGTATCAATATACTCCTATGTCCCATGATCCATTATGTCTGTCCCCTCCAAATGGCATACCATGGTGGTCACTGTGTCAGGAAAGAGGGCAGTTTGCTGTCATTCGTGTGCTGATGTCAGTCATCTGTGCATGCCCCTCACCAGGGGGCCCTGGGGCTGGGTGCTGGGGTCTGGTTGGCTCTACCCGTCCCCTTCTTAAGACTTGGCCCAAATAACCATCTGACTCTTTGTTCTTGTTTCCAGGATCATGATGGGCCGGTTTGGTAAGTACCCTGGTTTGGGATGGGACGTGCTGAGACCTGTGGGCACGCAGGGTCCAGCCAGAAAGATCTGGGCTTCTCAAGGTCATGCTTGTCACCGTGGGCAGGAGGGGTGAGGTTGAAGGGAGGGAGGAGTGCCAGCCTGGAGAATGTCTTTAGCTTACCTTTAGGGAGGGAGGGAGAAAAGGAGGTGATTACCCTCTCACCTGACCTTGTCCCCTGGGCAAGAGAGGGCAGACAAAGGAACCAAACACCTGTGCAGGAGAGCTTTTAAACCCTGGGAAGCAGAAGCCTGGCTCCCGGCTTAGGGAGGGAGGCTAATGTGGGCAGTTCAAAACAGAAAGTCCTTGACCACAATGGTGTTCTCCAGCCAGCAAGGAGGGGAGGAAAACAGAAGCCAGCTGGAAGCTCCCAGCTCAGTTCCAGATGTGTGCCTGACCCTGGGGAATCCTTGGGGTTCAGGTGCCTCCTCCACAACCCCACAGAGCGCCCTTCTCTAATCTGGAGGGTCTAAGGATGTGAGTCACCCCTGTGGAGAGCAGACCCAGCTCTGATGGCCTGGAAGGTCTTAAGTCTGAGAGAAAGCCGCAGTCATGTGGCCCTGAGCCTTCTCCAATGGACAGGTGCTATGGCTGCTTGGAGAATCCACGGGCGTTTCAACATTTTGATAACGCAGCTTAGCTCTCCTATTTCCATCCTAACATGTAATGTCATTGTTATTAAACCCAAATAAAAGAAGGCAGAAGGGAGCCTCTATCCAGTCTGTGAAAAAGAGGCAGGGTGGAGGCAGACGTGGGTCCACGCAGGACCCCTGGTGGTATGCAGGTGCAGGCTGGTTTTGAGCCATGTTCCCCTATCACCTCCCCTGAGGATGCAGAGGCCAGAGGTGGGAAGATGACAAACGAGGGGGAATGAGATGCCTCTGAGTGTGGAGCTGTCACTTCTGTGTTTGGGTTGGCCCTGTTTCAGGTTCAGAGGATTTGAAAGAGTTGGTTTGGTTGTGGGGAGGGGAGCCTGGGCCGTGCCGGTATCTTGGGAGCCCTGGCAGCTGGGAAGAACACCTGGCAAGGCACACAGGGTGTGGCTCCCAAGGGGAAAGCCAGGTGCACCGAACTCAGCCGCAGCGCTGGGGACATCCGAGGCCATAAGAGGCCTCGGAGGCTGTACTGACTTCACTTCTCACATGCTCTGGCGTAAGATGAAACAGGCTATTAGCTAGTGACAGGCAATTAGTTTCGCCCCCGCCTTGTGCTTCTGCTGACGCAAAGAGGTCTCCTAGTTACACGTCTGACAGCCTTAGCTTCAGTGCAGCGAGTCCCTGGACTCCCAGGCATCCTCTTGGTGGGGAGTGAGTGACACAAGATTTCTGGGCACATCTGGCTTCAGTGCCCTGCCAGGGTCTTGTCACACTACTGCCTTTGCTACCACAGTGCCCTCTGCCACGTGGATTTCCACCGAGCCCTCAGCTTCTTTGCACACTGCTAGGGAGGAAGGTCCCCAAACACCCCTTGTCATATATCTGTTTACAGTCCACAGTCCCTGCAGTGGCCTCTAAGGATGTCCTAGACATCGCATTCCCTGTGGCCTCTTTGGTTATTTTACCTCCTGAGTATCTAGGCCTCACCCTGTGGCTTCCTCAGTTCCGTTGCTCTCCGGCTGAGCTGCCCCCCCTTCTCAGTTACCCCACGGCTCCCTCTTGCATTGGCTTGGCTGTCACTCACCAGGGATCCCCTGCCCACCAACCAGTATACACTGGTCCTCTACTCTCGGGTTGTCTTCTTTGTGTTTATAATCATCCGTCAGCCCTACTCCCTGGAGCCTCAGTGTTGGTGTGAGTTCCCTTGCCCCAGGACAGTCTGTAGTCACCCCCAGGCTGCATGGTCTCAGCGGCCCTCCCTAAACCCTGTCTCTTGTGAAGAGGGTCCGAGACAGCATGCTGACCCTCCTAGGCTGATCCTTGCTGGAACCAGTTCCCGCAGCCTGCTTGGCCTTCGAGTGCTGTGAGCAGAGGGAGCAGCTCCTCTCTGGCCCCTCTTCCATCTTTCCAGCAGAAAAAGGGGTGCCCAGCCACTTCCCATCATCGTCTTGTCCTGGCTGAGGTGGGAGCAGGTTTTTTCCTCTCCCTGGAAACAAGTCTCCTGGGAGCTGGGAGGTTAGAGCCTGGTCTCCATAGCAACGGCTTTGCCAGTTGCCTTTTCTCTAGCTGGTGGCCCTTCCTCCCCAGTTCCCCCACTCAGGAGCCCTTTCTGATGCTGTCAGGATGGGATGGGCAAGAAACGGAAGCAGCTCCCTCATCCCACGCTCAGTTTGCTGTGACTCAGTCTCCCCCCCTTTCCCTTTCCAGTAGAACCCGTGCTCAGACTCTGACCTGGGGTTCACACCCCCTGGTCAGCGTGTACCCAGGATGCCACACTGAACCCTGTAGCTCCTGTCAGCCTCCCTCCCGGGCCACCCTGCTCTTAAATTAACTCCGGGCTCTCAAGTTTCTCTTTGCACGGTTTGTTCACTCCACCGGGCATGCCATTCCCCTTCTGATCACTCCAGCAAGCCCGGCTTGAACTTCGAGGCCCTTTCTTCCATTCCTCCATGACTCTAACCTTTTGTCCACACATACACACTGGGGTGCTGCCAGAGACCAGCCTGACAGAGCTAGTCAAAGCCCAGAAGCTGAGCGTTATGAGCAGGGGCTGCAGGACAGAGAAATAGGAACCCCCAACCCTGTCCTGGGTTCCTGATACTGGGTGGATGTGTGACTCACTATGGCTTTAGCCTTTGCTTTCAAGGGGACTCAGAGATGTGGACTGGGGAGAACCTTTAGTCTGAAGTAGACTGAGTGAGGCTCCAGGCAGATCTGGGACCCTTCTGTCTGTGCCCCTCCCAACTAGTAACTTCCCCAGCACAAGAGGGAAATTGTGGAGACCCAGACATGCCTGATGGCTGGACTTGTCCCCGGGCCCCATCCCATCTCTTGATGCTCACCAGGGTGGTGGGCTGATGGACTGGGTTGTTCCTACTTACAAAAGAAGAAACCCTTTGGCTACGGAAGTGGCCTGAAGTCTGTGGGCTTTCATGTCACACAGTGAGAATATGAACCCAGCTCTGCCCGGTCCCCCCAAACCCTGTTTAGAGCCCTTGGTCCCTCCTGGCCACAGGATACACTCTGATGCTTCCACTAGGCCCAGGTGAGCAGCCAGCGTGGGAGGCGCCCAGCAGCCGCCCACATAGCACTCTGCCAGCCCAGCGGTGGCCCGGCTAAATAAACCAGTGACGTCAAGCGTCTTGGCTCCTGGGGCTTTGCCTAAGCGGCTTTACTGGGCTGCGCTGCTTCATGAGGACTAAGCTCCTTTTGCCCCTTTACAGATTGTTTTCCAGGGGATAATCTGACTTAGCTGATTGTGGCGGAGAGTGACAGCTGGCGCTAACTGAGGGTAGCTTTTTGTCCCCACCGACTCTGGGGGGAAGGAGCTGCCTCCCTTCCCCCAACAGACACATACGCTTACTCCAACATGCACACATGCACACACACAGGGTTCCCTCTTTTCATTTAGCCTCTCCCCTTCCTCAAGGCTTACAACGAGGCCCCAGTTTGGATGGAGATGTCTCCAGACCCTACCCTGGCCTGAATCTCTGGCAATTTCCTCTTGGGGCTAGGTGGGTAGGAAGGCTTCCTCTAAACCATCTGGCGCCCTGGCTTTTTCAGCTCACCCTAGTCTTCTTCATTCTCCTCCTTCCTTCCTCCTCAGTGTTCCCCCTCCCCCAAGATGGGAGAAGGCACCCTGTGCACCTCCTCCCACTGGGACACCATGGTGGAGCTGGGAGTGGATGGCCTCTACTGGCTCCGTCCCAGTAGCCTACAATGCCCCAAGAACCAAGCAGACAGAGGTCAGGACCTAGGTCCTTTCCTGGGTTTCCCCTCCCTCGGCAGCGCTCTGTTGGCCCTGGAGCCCTCAGGCCTCTGCTTTGACCTGGGCTGCAGTCATCTTTCCTAAAGACGTGTGTCTCCTACTTCTTTCAAATATTGGCAGATAGAGAGGTTCAGAGGGCCCCTCTGGAGGGGTTCTGGGTTCTCTTGTCCCTGAACAAAGGACAGAGAGACACAGAGTTGTAGCCAGAGCTGCCGGTTTTCCTAAGGAACGATTCACTTTCAAGGGAGGAAGTGAGGCCTCCAGCTTGCAGAGCTAGGCTTCCTGTTACCTTAGAGCCAGCATTCCCCTCATTTGCATAGCAAGGATATTTTGGTTCATTTGCATAGAGTGGGCTTTTCTGAGTGCTCTGTTTGTCACATGTAGTTCACACAAACTCATGTGTCATCATCTCTCACTAGCATCTTCCATCTGCCCCCAGGGGTGAGCCACAGTGTTACAGTGAGCCCCAGGCCACCCACAGACACAGGAGTGCTTGGGTCCTGAGCCGGAGACACAGGCAGATTTTCAGATTAAGAAAAAAATTTTTCTCTGTCAGCTTTGGTGGACTGGGGGTGTCCATTTGTGAGAAGGGAGGGGTTTTCAGGGTTCCAGGGTTTCCTCTTTGCCAACTTGTTTTTTTTTTTTTTCCATTTACTAATTTTGCAAGGCTTCTGTCCATTATTGACCTTAATCAAGTAGGGAAGGATGGGGTGCTTCTGTGCTGATTGGGGTGGCAGCTTGCACATGCGACAGAACAGGTTGTGGTTCACCAGGAAAGAAAGAGGTGTTGGGGTTCTCAGGGAGGAATAGGCTGCCTGCAGGTATCCTGCAGAGGACACCAAGGGCTCGGATGCTTTCCTGTGGAGTCCTTCAGAGGAAGTGACCTTGGAGAGCAACCTGGGGGCAGAGAGGCTGTATTAAAGGCCCTGTACAGGGCTGTACCTCGGGCTGCAGAGAGACTGTTTTGTAGAGCCTGGGAAGAGAGGATGGACCACAGTGTCGGAGTGAGAAGAGGGTGAGAGGACATCCAGTTGCACTTGTAGAGTCTGGATGCTGATGGGGAAGAGGCCAGTTGCCCTGGAAGCTGTGGGGGAAGGGGAAGTAGACCAGGCATGGGAACTGCAGACCTGACCAAGTGGAGAAGTGGTAAGATTCACAGGCAGTGGTAGATCTTAGGAGAGACAAGGATGCTTCAGGAGCTCAGTGGGAGTGTGTAGGTGCCATGTGTGACCCACTCTTCCATGCCCAAAGATTCACAGATAGTTAAGAGTCTGAGAAAGCCCCACTCACCCTTGGTTCACATCATGATCCCGGTCTTACACTCGGGCAATGCCAGTTTTCAGGTTCCTCTGCTCTGGCAGAAACTAGAGGGATAGAACAGGCTGAAAGCCCCAGGCAGAACATCCCGAGGGGTCAGGGTGGCTGTTTTCAGAACCAAGGGCAGCAGAGTCCTCTCCAGAACTCCCCTCTGTGTTCTCTCTTGCATGTCGTGGCAGAGCGTGATGCCTTCGACACACTTTTCGACCATGCACCGGACAAGCTCAACCTTGTGAAGAAGGTAGATCCCCCCCCCCACGCCCCGGCCCCCATCGCCACCCTTCATGGGACCTGTGTAGACTCTGCCTAGACTCTCTGCAGACCCAAGGCAGGCTGAGATGGGATGAAAGGTGTTTGGAATTTCTAAGGTTTGCCTTGTATGTTGAGACCGCCCTCAGCAATGTGTAGCATGCTGTGGCTCTTTTACAATAGGGTCATGTAGACTGGACAGCTCAATCCCTGTTGGCACTGTGCCATTAAGACTAGGCCTTGCTTAAGAGTATGGTGTCTGATACACAGAGGAGGGTCTGGAGGGTCTCAGCCCGCCATGTTGGGGGCTGGGGGAATTCTGCAGAAGGTTGCTGATATGGCCTTTGCTTCTCTGCTTTGACAGTCTCTCATCACATTTGTGAACAAGCACCTGAATAAGCTGAACTTGGAGGTGACGGACCTGGAGACCCAGGTAGGCAGGCTTCGGTGGAGGGTCCCTCTGGCCTGGGTTTCTAGTACCTCTCGACTCAGGTAGGGTGCGGAAGCCAGTGGGACCACCTTGTCTCTCTCAGGGGGAGCCTCCAGTATGTAGCCCACAGCATTGTTTCCGCCCGACTGAGCTGGCTGCTCAGACTCTCTGCTTCCTGCAGCCCTGGCAGGCAGAGACCGAAGGCTGGAGCCATGAGCTCTGCAAGCTTCGGGTCCAGAGTCACAGTGCGGGCACAGAGTTACAGTTTAGCTCCTTCCCAGCCCCTCTGTGGTTTCTGCTGTGTTCCTGCAGGCGGGCTTTGGTGTTCTTGGACCCATAGATGTATTACGTCCATCTTCTGTGGCCTCCTCCTGTGTCCGCATCTCTGCGCCTGTGCATCTGCAGTCAGCACACAGCTCTCCGTGCCCTCCACCCCCACCCTGTCTGCTCCCCCAGAGTTAGTGTCTAGAAATGGATGCTTGAGAGCAGAGAAACATCGTGCTGGATTAGAGCCCACCCTAATGGCACAAATGCAGCAGCGACCCTGTTTCCAAATGGAGTCATGTGCACAGAGTCTAGGGATTAGAATTCGAGTTTATTTTTGAGAGAGACAGTTCAACTTTATTATCCACCCCCAAGACTCCATCCCATCCTGCCACAGGGCCATTTGCTCCAAAAGTCTCTGGGTCTAGAACATTCTGTGCCCTCTGCTGCAGCCTCACATTTGGTCCTGTGGCAGCATGGGAACAAAGCCCCATCCAACCTGGGGCCAGGGAGATGGCTCAGCTGGTAAAGGTGATTGCCAAGCAAACTTAATGACCTGAGTTTGATCCCCAGGGATGCACATAGTGGAAGGACACAACTGACTCCTGCAAGTTGTCATGTGACTATATACGCACTGGGACACGAACTGGTTGCCGGCCCCAAACATCATACGGCCTACAAGAATAGAAATAAAATAATCATCCACTTGGGGAATAGGGACAAAACACTTCCTCCATATGTATCTCATATGCTCTGCCATCCAGCTAGGGCGCCATCGTGGAGACAGTCTCGAAGCACACAAGCCCTGCGGGTCCCACAGAATTCTCCCCGGCTTAGTTGTGTGCTCGAGTTCTGAGTCTGATTCCTGAGCAGCGCAGACATCCCTAATGCGTGGCTGATCCTTCCTAAACCCCTGGGCGTTTTCTTCTATTACTTTCCCTTTCCTTAACTTCTCTCATTTGCTTTTCTAATTAAAAAAGTAATTCAGGTTCATCGCAGAAATGTCTGAAAATGAAGATAAGGAAAACAAACAGAAGTCACCGTAGTATATCACCCCACTGCACTCCGGGGCTTGTTCCAAGCCCTCCTCCTGGGGATTCTGGGTGTATGCAGTGTGGTCTGCCTAAGGGAGCAGATTGTGTATGTGTGCGTGTGTGCACACGCGTACCCATGATTTGCAAAAGCAGCGCTTATCCATAGCTGTTTGCTCATGCGGTACTTGCTGCGTGACACTTTCGATTTCCTGGAGCCTGGGAAGCTAACGTGAAAAGCTGTGTCTCTCCCTTCCTACTGCCCACCCCTCCCCCAACTCTGCCTGGGTCTCTTTCAAAGTGTTCATGCATAAAACAGCACACTCTCCTTAATAGCAGTCGATCGCACTGGACAGCTGGTTTGTAATGTGTTGTGTTTTTTCCCTCCCTAAATACGTTTGGGCATCTTTTTGCGAGAGATGGATGTCTCTGTCTGAAGCTATTTCACTTTTCTGTCATATTCATTCTCTCTCCCTCTTCTCTCTCTCTCTCTCTCTCTCTCTCTCTCTCTCTCTCTCTCTCTCCCTCTCCCTCTCTCTCCCTCTCCTTCTCTCTCCCTCTTCCTCTCCCTCTCCCTCTCCCTCTCCTTAAGACAGGGTCTTGGATTCACTTTGTAGCTCAGGCTGGCCTTAAACTTTTGGTGATCCTCCTGTCTCAGACTCCTCAGTCGCAGAGCTTGGTCCCCTCCCCAGCACTGTTAAAATAATTACCTTCCCTCAGGTGCCTTCAGGTGCGAGGCTGCACTAGCGGAAAGCAGCCCTGGGATTGGACCACTTCCCACTCACGAGCGTGCCGAGTGGCAGGTGTTCTGGCCGCAGTTATTAGTGACCTTTCTGTTTCCTTGGGGCTAGCATCTATCGAGAAATGGAGGCAGACGAGGAGGCGTAAGAGCAAAGCAGCATGCGCCATGAGGCCTGGGAAGATCTGATCACGGAAGCTGGCATCGGCTGTGTGGTCAGCTGCCCCATATCCACGGCAGCCCCCTTCTTATGTGGCCCCGCAGGACTCATCAGTCAGAGCAACTTAGACCAGGGGGAAATCTGCACTTTTGCTCATTGTTCTTTTTCTTCCCTGTCACACAGTGTAAACTAGTCAAGGTCTGCTTTAGCCATCACTGGCATCCTATTAAGTCTGTGCTTGGTGACTGGCCCTGTTTCCCTCTCACAAATGACTTTATGCCTTTTACTTCTTAAAGGCATTTCCCCCCCAAGCTCCTGGGTCTCAAAATCAGATATTTGTGATGTTCCCTTTTCCATTTAAATGCTGTCAGGCGGGAGTCTCCAAAGACCCTCAGGACAGTGGAGGGCTGGGTTGAAAGGATCTAAGCTTTTAAAGGGGTACCCCCCCCCTTCATGCTCTCATTTGTATATTTGGAGGTGCTAGTCCCTGGAAACTGACGGCCTCTGGGGTGTCCTAACTGCTCCTGCCTCTCCAGGAGTCCGTCTGGAAATCTTCAAAGTCTGACTGGTGTGTCCTTCTAATGGTAGAGGGATTCTGTGGTGTGCCTGCCATCCACTGGCCATGTGTTTTGAAGTTCAAATATGTCCGGTGACCCCCAAAGCTACCTTCTGTTTTAATAAGCTTTTAATGAGCGAGATTCAGGGACCAGCAAAATGGTTCAGAGGATGAAGATCCTTGCTGCCAAGCCTGACAACCTGAGTTTGGTTCCACGACCCGAATGGTTGAGGGAGAGAACCGACCCCCATAGACTGTGCTCTAACTTCCACATGTGTGCCATGGCATGTATGTGTATGTGTGCACTTATACACTCACCTAATAAATAATGTAATTAAAAGATTATCAAAGGGGCTAGAGAGATGGCTCAGTAGTTAAGAGCAGTTGTTACTCTTGTAGAGGACCCGGGTTTGGTTCCTAGCACCTACACAGTGTCTCACAACCATTTTTAACTCCAGTTCCGGAGGATCCAGGGCCCTCTTCTGACTTCCATTGACAATGGGCATGCACATTGTGCTTATACATATATACATGCATACATTTATACATACATACATACTTGCAGGTAAAACACTCATACACAAAATAAATTTAAAAATAAAAAAATATAGTCAAATTCAGGAGTTCTGAACATTGCTTGCCCAGTAGTGATACTGCCAGCTGTCTGAGTGGCAAAGGTGTACAGAGAGCCATAGTTAAAATAGTTAGTCAAGAAAAAAGTCAACAGAGGTAGAAAGGATATGGGGGCTGATGGTATATGTTCCTCATATCAATACTTGGGAGGCTGAGGCAGGACAATGGCTGAAAATTACAGACCAGGCAAGGCTAGAGTGAGAACCTGTTTAAAAAAAAAAAGAACTGGCTGGGGGTGGGGGGTGTTCAATGAGCCAGAGCACATGATATACAAATATGAAGACCTGAGTTCAAGTCCCCCGCACCCAGGAAAAAAATTCAGGTGTGGTCATGTGCACCTGTAACCCCAGTGCCATGGGGAGCCAGAGAGGAGGATCCGTAGGGCTCCCTGGCCAGCCAAACGAGCTGAAAGTGGTGAGCTCCACGTTCAGTGAGAAACCCTGGTTCAAGGGAATAAAGCTGAGAGCAATATAGGAGGACACCTGATGCCCTCTGACCTCTGTATGCTTGCCTATAGGTGTACTCAAACACACACAATACAACACACACATGCACACATGCACAAAACAAACAACCCCCAAAATACAAACCTAAAACCAAATCCCAAATGCTAGCACACAGGAAGCTGGAGCAGGAGGATCAATTTGAATTTGAGGCCAGCCTGGGATACATGATAAAACAATAAAATAATAATAATAATAACAACGATAACAGAGGAAGGAGTGTGGGGGTTCCCAGGCAATCAGTGTTTAATGGAGATGATTGGTGGTGGCCATGCATGGCAGTATGGATGTTCTTCACGCTACTGCAACACCTGAAAGCAGCAAAGATGGGGGGCTGGTGAAGTGGCCCATCACCAGGTTAAGGCAATGACCTGAGGTCAACTTCTAGGACCCACATGGTGGAAGGAGACTTGTCCTCTGAACTCCATATGTGAACTGTGGTATATGTGTGCACACACATACTAAAAATTTAAGGGCCGAAGAGATAGAGCAAAGCACTTGTTCCTCTTGAGGACCCGAGTCTAATTCCTAGCACCCACATAGCGGCTCACAGCTTTAACTTTAGTTCCAGGGGATCCGATATCTTCTTCTAACCTCTATGGGCACCAGGCACACACATGGAGCACATACATACATGCAGGCAGAACACTCATACACATAAAATAAATCTAAAGATTCAAATTGTTTGAAACTGGTTAAGTTGGCCAATTTTGTATTCTATATCTGAGGGGCCCATTGCTACCATTGCGAAGGAGAGCTGTTGCCCCTCTATGGCTTGCTCAGGGAGGAGTATGGGTGTCAAGAGTGAGAGCCCTTTCTTCTGAACCCCTGGTCCCCTCCTGTGGGTGACTAGGGCATGGACCTCTTCCCTTGAGCTCTGCTGAGAGTTCTCAGTGCAGGGTGGGAGTGCTGAGTGGGGATGGGGTCCTGGGGTGGGCACTGTAGCTTGTGGGCATTCCCACACCTTCCTACACACATGCAGGGTGTCTGTCCAGCCCACACATGACCCAGAATTGTCACTGAGTTTTCTCTGAAGTTTGCAGATGGCGTGTACCTGGTTCTGCTTCTGGGCCTCCTTGAGGACTACTTCGTCCCCCTCCACAACTTCTACCTGACCCCTGACAGCTTCGACCAGAAGGTAGGTGCCTTGTCTCCTGAGAATGGTCCCAGCCAAGCTCATTGGACTAGACAGAGGATTGTCCCCCGATGCCACCGACCGACCGCAGTCCTTCAGTGTCCTTTAGAATATGAACCTACACAACATGGTGGAGTTCAATCTGCTATAGCTCCCTGAAGACAGAATAGGAAACCCCTTTGGGTCACGCAGTACATCCAGGTTTACTCTGTCATTTCTCCAAGTCTTTCCCACAGGCTTGGGTTTTTTGTTTTGTTTTTTTATTTGTATGTTCGCTTGTTTTTATGACTCTGGTCAAATGCCACACACAGCCCTCTGGGTGTCCCTGTTTTGGGAGCCTCCAAATGTTATGTTCCTGGGTGACACATGTGTGGTTCTGTGGCGTGTGTCTGCATATGTCTCTTACTTCATGCTCTTGGCTGTGTCGATTTGCTTCTGTTCTTCTTCCTGCCACAATAGGGCTTTTTTCCAAAGATTCACAATTGTCCCTCTGAATCTGCTAGAGACGGGTTCCAGGGCCCCCTTGGGTACCGAAGCCTGCAGATGTTCGTGGTCCACATGTGAAATGTCCTATAAAGCACGGAGCCTACGCACTTCCTTCTGTGGATGTTAAATCCTGTCTGGTGCTTTATAATACTTAATGCAATGCAAATGCTATGCAAAGTAGCTGCTTTCTATATTGTTAGGGAGCGATGGTGGAGGATGCTTGTTTAGTATGCTGCGGTTCCCCAGACATTGTCCATCTGCGGTTTGTGTCATCTGAAGATGAGCACGCGTGCGCACGTGTATGTGTGTCTGTGTCTGCATATGTGTACATTTCTCTTCATGTGTATACATGCATGACTGTGTGTGGCCGTGTATGTATATGTCTCTATGTTTGAATGTATGTGCATGTATATATGTGTCTATGTTTATGTACACATGTATGTGTGTATGTGTCCTCATGTATGCCTGGTGGATTTAAATATGTGTGTATGTATGTGCTTGTATGTGTATGAGCATACATATGTATGTAAGTACATTTGTATAGGTGGTGGGGCTGTTTGTATGTATGCAAACTTTATTGCTGTGCTTGGTTTCCCAGAAAATTCCTCTTGTAGGACCCTCTGGATGGACCCCACAGCGTCTGTGCTCTTGTCTCTGCTCCTTCTGTGCTGTCTGTCCCTCGCGGGTTCCCTGCAGTTAGCTCTGCAACTGAAGAGTTAGTGTTGCACTTCTGGGGACTTGGCAGAGGCCAGGCTGGGCTGCTGGGGACTCACGGCACCTGCTACTTTATTTTTCCAAAGTGTGAGGCCCATGAGGCACGGAGGCAGACGGTAACAGCAGAGGACAGGCCAGTGTTTATCAGTCTGCTGGTTCCTGGCACCGAGCTGTCTGTCTGCTCATGGCCAAATGCCGTTCCTATCATGCCTGCAGAGATAGAACTGTGTAGGGATAAGTCCCACCCCTTAGGGGGCGTGTTCGCCTCAGGCTAAAGTTCTCCTATAAAATTGGTGAGCGTGCTCCCAGCGCTCTCTTCTGCTTTCCTGGTCTCCGCGGGAACAGTGGTTCTGTAAGTCTATTCCTCCATTAAAGCTGTCTATATTTTGACAATCTGTCTGCATTCGCTTAAGCCGTTACATTTTGGCGCCCATTTGCTATGTTAAGTTAAAGCCTTCTTTTTTTGTTTAAACAGAAAAAGGGGAAGTGATGTGGGAGTGTCATATATCAATCTGTTGATTTCATTGGTTAAGTTATAATAAACCAGCTGCTTGGCCTCATGGCTGGAACATAGATGGGAGGAGTAAACAGAATAGAATTCTGGGCGGAAGAGGAAGTGAGGTCAGACTCTGCTCTGACCCGACAGCTCTGCTAGAGCAGAGACGCCATGCTCAGCTCTCCCAGGCAGCTGCAACCCACGATGGACTTAGGCTAGAATCTTCCCGGTAAGCGCACCTTGGGGTGCTTACACACACCATTAGAAATGGGCTAGTCCAGGTGCGAGAATTGGCCTGTAAGGGCTAGAGTTCATGGGCCAAGCAGTTCTTTAAATGAATACAGTTTGTGTGTTGTTATTTCGGGCATAAGCTAGCCAAGCGGCCGGGGTGTTGGGGACGCAGCCCCGCCGCCGCTTCGTATTTCAACAGAACTGGGCAGATTAGAGAGGTCTTGGCATGTTGGAGTCCACGCTGGGGATGGAGGGAGAGCGAGTGCAGTGAGCAGCGAGCAGCGGTCCAGAGCTCACCAGGATCATGGAGCCTGATGCAGTTGTAGAAACCAGAGGTCAGAGTGTCTGGTGCACAGGTTCTCGCATAGTCAGACCCCTGTGTGGTTGTCTTATCTCTGGGAAATCTCGTCTTTGTTTAAACTAATCAGGAGGCTGGTGAGAGCCGTGGATAACCAGTAGAACTGGGTCTTTGTCTAAACAAGGCTTTGTATAAATACGCAGGCATCTGGGGCCCTGTCCTCAGAGAGGTTTGAGAGTAGGGTCCCTTTATTATTTGCATATATTTACATATATCTACACACACACACACACACACACACACACGCGCGCTCTTTCTCTCACACACACACACACACACAGAGTCTGACCTCTTCTTCCTAGGGGTGGTCATCACCTCTATGAGCCTTGACCAGTGTATTTGTCTCCTAGTCCTCATGGCCATGAGGACCATGCTCTGCCCTGGGGCAGGCAGTGTCTCTGATCAGCTCTGTGGCCTGAAATTGAGGGTCCTTTGCTCTGGTCCCAGGTATCTTGCTGACATCTTAAGAGTGCTGAAGGCGGCAGAGATTCAGCAAGCAGAGTAGGAGATGGACCAGAAGGTGCACTCTCAAGCAAAGCAGCAGCCTGCATCTTTAACCAAAGACATTATCTGGGGATGTGGCTCAGTTCGTAGAGTACCTGCCTAGCATAACAGGTCCTGGGTTCGATCCCTGGCATTGCATAAACAGGCACGATGACAAACATCTGTAATCCCAGCGCTTGAGAGGTGGGGGCAGAAGGTTAGAAGTTCAAAGTTATCTTCCTATAGCTTAGTTTGAGGCCAGCCTGGGCTAAATCAGACCGTCTCAGAAAAGCAAAAACAACCAGCATTAATCTGAAGAATAGCTCAGTGGTGGAGCACGTGCCTAGTACACAGGAAACAAAACACTGAGTTCACTTTCCAGCTCTGGGGTGGGAGAGGGGGAGGGGGAGCCACAAGACTGGCAGCTCACACCCTGCGGTTCCCGCCTTCTGTTAATTCATGATTGACATTGTAAGGGAGATTATCGCTGGCATTCCTTGCTGACCTACAGTGGAGTGACAGACAGTGATTCTATTGGAGAGACAGTTGGTCACTGTGAGCCATCAAGCCTGTCCAGCTGGTGTCTGTGCCCTTGCTGGTTTGGTGGTCTACCTTCCCACCCTCCTCTGCTCAGGGCAGGTAGAAGCTGCACAGGGTTTGGCTGGTCTTGACCTCTATAGACTTTAAACACCATGGAGAGGCTCCGAGTAGGAGCCTTCATTAGCAGAACGGAAGCCTCAATAGTGTTCAGTTGGGCGGGCAGGGAAGAGCAGGGTGGGCGGGCAGCGAGGGGCAGGGTGGGCGGGCAGGTGGTCAGGACTGAACCAGGGATCTCCATGATGGCTTTTTGGCTAATCTCAATTCTATCAGGGTCCCCAGTTGCCTCAGGAACAGTGTTATCCCACAGAGACACAGTCAGACCTCCACAGGTGCCCAGCTCTTTAGTTATCTGACAGGAAGCAGCCGCCCTGTGTTCAGAGGACTGTCCAGAGATGAGACCTTTGCAAGGGACTTGTCTTTTTCAAGCCTCAGTTTCTCAAGCTGTCATTTCTCATCAGGTGATAGGTTCTGGCTCAGAGGGGGCACTTGGCTCTCAGCCCCGGGGAAAGGAGGGCAGGCTGGAAGCTGGTATCCTTCCCTTCCCCAAACCCAGACAAGAGGAACAGGAACTATAGAGTTACCCTTACTGAACCCACTGTGTGTGCTGTCCCTGTGTCCTGTCCTGTGTCCTGGTGGACTTTGTACCGAGGGAAGCAGTCATCTCTCTCCACACGGAAGGAAGGAATGTGTGGACGTGATCAGGTGTGGGGACATGGACTTCACTGTCACTGACCCTGTCTCCGGCAGGTGCACAACGTGGCCTTTGCCTTTGAACTGATGCTGGACGGAGGACTCAAGAAGCCCAAGGCCCGCCCTGAAGGTAACACCCCACCTGAGCAGCTCGGAGCACAAAGAGAGGGGCAGCAGGGGTCAGGGCGTCAGGAACCTGCGTGTCTGTGGGCAGCAGATGGTTTTTTTCTGCTGCACGTGTGGCAACGCAGCTTCCAGCTTCTGGAAGTCTGTCCTCTTCAGCCAACTATCTGTCTGTTTCCTTCTGCAGATGTGGTGAACCTGGACCTCAAATCCACTCTGCGGGTCCTGTACACTCTATTCACCAAGTACAAGGACGTGGAGTGACGGAGCTGCTGATCCTTCCAGGGCAGTTTCTAGGCAGGGAAAATGGGCATGTCTATCCCCAGCCCCTGCTTCCCCAGGGAGGCCTCAGGCTTCTCATCCCGACTGTGTAATGTCCCTCCTGTCTGCTCCCTGCCTGGCCCCCTTTCCTCTGTGGTTCCCCAGCCAACTGGTTAGGCCTTTGAGAACTTGGTGCTTAAAACACCCTCTCAGGTTTGAGGCCTCACTTCCTTTTTTTCTCTGCTGCCATCAAGAGATGAAAAAAAGAACGAAGCCCCAGCCTAGTCCTCAGCTGGAGAGGGCTGTCCACCTGTGCTCCAACCCACGAGGCAATTACTGATGGCAGGAGCACAGCAGCCCATGCTCCGGCGACTCCGCCCCACTTGTCCTCAGGAATCCCCTGGGCTGGGCTCTCCCTGGAAGCGGGTCCTGTCTTAGTAAAAAGATCCTCGCAGTTTTTCACTCCTGTCTCAGAAGCGTCAGACTTGTGACGTGTCCCCCCACCCCCCAACACACACACACACATCCGTCTTGTGGTTTACCGGTCTTGACTGACCTACATCAACTCTCAGGACCCAGAATGCCTCGGGCCCCCAGGGAAGCTGCACAGAGCCTATCTGGGTGTCTTGCTGGCTCTGAATATGCAGCTTGAGCCAGCTTGGAGCCGGAACCTTGCCGTCTCTAAAGGCCCTGTTAGGGAATGGACACATTTTTAGAGATTTTACAAGGGGGTGGGTATCTATGACTAGGTCTGCCTCACCACAGGCTACCAGCAGCCAGAATGACAGAGGCGTACCTCTGGCGGCTCTGGAGGCTGGAAGCAGGCGGTGGAGGTGCTGGCTGGGCTGGTTTCTGAGGCTTCATTTTTCACTGCTCCTCTCTGCCTTTGCATGCATTAGCCTCCTCCTAGTTCTGATAGGGAACCCATCCCCTGTATGGCCTCACTGCCCCTATGACAGCTGTAAGGTCCCTGTCTCTAGGGCAACCTCCCTCGGACACGACAGGAGTAGGTTTGTGGGGCTTGTCTGAGCTGGGCGTATGAAATGTCCACGTCCTTCCTAGAACACTACTGGTATCCTCTGCAGCACGTCCTGTAAAAGAAAATGCTGCTGTTCCCATAAGCCGTCCCCACTCTAGAGAGGAGTGGGGATACCATGGCTGGCTGGCTTCTTGTCTCAGGAACCCTACTTCTGTGGTTCACCCCCTCTCAAGTTCCTTCTACCTCCAGCCTTCTGAACCGCCACCCTCTTCCTTGAGCCTTAAGCATTCGCGGCAGCTAAGGTGAACCTCCCTCTTCTGATTCCCACTTTGCCACGGACCAGGGCTATGGAGTGAGGTGTTGATACTCAACAGAACACCGACCGTGGAGTTCCAGCAAACAGTTTAATATCATCCCTTGGTTCGGCTGTCGCTAAGCTGGGGATGGGTTTGGAATAGTCTGCTCCGATGGAGGTGGCTTCCCAGCAGGGGAAAGAGATAATTAAAACGGCATTACCGTGTCTCCCCGTGGGATGCAGTGACATTAAAGAGCCACACTGACAAAATAGCCAGGATCGGAATGTTCTGTGTTACCTTCCCTCCTTGCTGCTGGGTCAGCCTTGCCCAACTCACAGGTGGTCTTGGCCAGGGTGTCTCACATCCCCGGGGCAGGGAGCCTTCATGTGAAGGGTTTGCAGAGACCTATGGTGCTGGGGGTGGGGAGGCTGGTCTGGGAAGGGTGGTGGTTTCCTGAGCATCCCTATCTGGAGGACACATGTCCCACTTGGAATCCAAGTGGGCTCCTTTCCCCTGCAGGAGGACTGACGAAGCCAGGGTTCCATGAAGGCATGACCTTCCCCATTGGCTGAGCATAGAAGTGGTTCTGAAATACCAGTGAAGGGCTACCTAATGGCTTTGCTCTCTTTTCTCTGTGGAGCTGGCACTCATCCCTCGACCTGGACAGAGGACCGAGAACCAAGGTTCCTAGGCCAATTTCAGGGCCCCCTGTGTAGGGCAAGGCTTCCCTCACAGATTTGCCCCATTAATTTAGGGGAGAACTGTCCCCATCCATACCCTCTGGTAATTAGTGACCCCTTCCTCAATTTTTCCCATGATTCTCACTGGGGCCCCCCTTTGAGTTGTCAGTTCAAGGAAGTTCTGGAACATTCTACTGCTTGGATCAACAGTCTCTCCTGATATTTATTTGAAGAGAGGTCTGGCCACCAAAACTGGTAGAAATGCCGTTGTCTGTCATGCTCCACACAGTCACAAGGAAGGGTCTGGCAGGTCTGTTCCTCCTCCTCCCCCAGGTCTGCAGGCCAGGTCTGGGATTGCTCCCCTCTGTCCTACACAGATTTACATGTCTCCCCCAGTCCTGCTGACTTGGGTGGACCTGCACAGGCAACTCTTGTTCCCCTTCTGTTCAGTGCACGCCCTGGGCCCGGGGCCCCTGCATCCTCACCGGCCTGACAAAACGAGGTCTTATTTTCAAGCAGTCGAATCTGCTCCCCCTCTATGCTGCCGCGCTTTATTGTCTTTTTAATTGTTCGAAGCAAAGTGTCCTCTGGATTTCTGGATATTAAATAAAAACCACTAAACCCCCGGCTGCGCTTTGATCAGACCCTCCTGGCAGACAGCAGGGACAGCGTGCTTGCGACAGCTCAAACTTATGGCTTCCTGTGCCAGACATTCAGGCGGGAGACAAAGCTCGGGGTGTCACAGCATGCTCTGACTTACTCTGGCAGTGAGCTCGGATGCACCAGCTGGCCTCTGGCTCTTTGCGGGGCTGCTTCTCACACATTCCTTGTCCCTTCGTCTTGCCCATCTCTGGTCAGGGAGAACATTTCACATGGCCAGGCTGACTTGAACTCTCCCTTTTGATGCTACCAGGCACACGCTCAAGGAAGATGCTCATGAGGAGCAGAAGGGCTGGGGGGATGGGCTTCCCTGCTCTCTCCATGGAAGAAGTGGAAATCAAAGCCAGCCTGTGATGGCGACCTCAACTTGGCATTCCGTACCCCCTTCCCTGAAGGATCCTGTGCCTTGGGCGCATTTTTCTGTATATGCTTACTGGGAAGCCAAGAGTTCAAGGCCAGCCTGGACTACATAGTTCCAGGGTAGCCTGGGCTATCAAGTGAGACCTTGTCTCGAAACAGTTTTACTACACCCAAATGCATAGCTGGCCTAGACAGCAAGTCAGTGATGCTATTTCAATAGACTGGGATTCAAGATGGCTCAATGGGTAAGGTGCTTACTATGTAATTGGGAAGACCTGAGTTTGGATCTCTATGTGCTGGGTGTGTCACTGAGTGTCCATAATCCCAGACCTAAAAGATGAGAAGGAGAGACAGAAAGTACCTGTTAGCCCAGCTACTCTGGTGAGCACAGGAGGGACCAGCAAAGGGACCCTGCTTCAAAGGAGGTAGAAGGTGAGACCTGATCCCTAAGGTTGTCCTCGGACCACTACATACATGCCATGTGTACCCCCATCCACAATAAAATACATGTGTACACACACATAGTTTATTTATTTATTATTATTATTTTTAGCTAGCTAAAAATGACAAGCCCTGGCTGGGAGGATCCAGGCTTTGGATGGGCTCTTGGGCCCCAGTCCAGCTTTGTTTCTTCAGTGACTGCTGGTGGCTTAATTTGCCTGAGCCTCCCAGGGCTCAGGGACAGAAATTAGCCGCCTTCAATAGCATGTCCCTCGGCGATGTGTTGTAATGTCTGGAGGTGGATTGGTGGCCACAGCTGGGAAGGATGAGCGACTGGCCTGTTGTGGAGGCTTGGCTTACTACTGACACCCTACAGCTCACGGGACAACAAAGAATAGTGTCCCCAAATGTCACTGTGCTCAGTCTGGGACACCCTGAGGTAAACTGTCAGCTCCTGGGTTAGTCCATCTCAACTTTCTTTGTTGTACAGGATTTTTCTGTTACTATTGATGGGGGAAAAAAAAAAACCTTTCCCCTTAGCAACTGGGAGCACACAGCACAGTTGATAGAATTCTCAGGCCCTTGTTGGGAAGTGAGGCAGGAGGAGTACCTTGAACTCAAGAGCAGAAGAGGCTTCATTGTGCTAGGCTCAACCCCAGTGCTATATGACCACATGTGGTGGCATATGTCTATAATCTCAGCACCAGCGGGATCAAGAGTTCCAGGTCACACCCTCTGCTATACAATGAGTTCAGAGCTAGCCCAAGCCCCACATGAGAGACCCTAAGGAAAAACTGGTCGTGTGGTGTGTGTGGTGTGTGTGTGTGTGTGTGTGTGTGTGTGTGTGTGGTGTGTGGTGTTTGTGTATGTGTGTGGTGTATATGTATGGTATGTGGTGTGTATGTGTGTGTGGTAGAGAGAAGGTTATGCTTTCTATTGTTGTGATAAACACTACAGCCAGAACCAACTTGGAGAAGAACGGGTTAATTTCAATTTTCAGTTCCCCTAGAAACTCAAGCAAGGCGGGAACCTGGAGGCAGGACCTGAAGCGGAGGTCATGGAGGAGCGCTGCTCATGGGTTTGCTCTTCATTTGCTCGCTTTACCAGACCACCTGCCCATGGGTGACACTGCCCACAGTGGGTTGGGCCCTGCCACATCCGTTATTAATCAAGAAAATGTCTGATAGGCTTGCCCACAGGCCAGTCTGGTGGAAGTGTTTCTCAGCTGAGTTCCCTCTTCCCAGGTAACTCTAGCTTGTGTCAAGTCGGAGAAAAAAGAAAAAGCCAAACTAGCCCATACTAGACACTAGTTCTTTTGAGACCAGCCCATGACTCGTGACCCTCCAGGGACCTTCTGATGGGTTGATCAGAGCCAGTGGCGTGGCCAGAGACGGAGCTGAGTTCTGAAGCAGGAGACCATATGGGTGGCTCCTGGAGAATCAGGGTGACAGGGCGCAGCAGGGGGTGGTTAGACAGTGTAGGAGCTCAAAGGCAGCGTTGAGGAGAGACCAGAGCTGAGGGCTTCATGGGCAGCTCAGGCCTTTGTGTTCCTTATCTCTCACAAAAACGCCTCATTCCATTCTATGGGCTGACAGTCTGTCGTCAGGTCCCCAGGAAAGCCCACCCAGTACAGATCCTCAGATGTGTGTGCTCCTTCCTTTATAGCCAGTCTGGGGAAATGGGACCACGGGGGATTCAGACAAGGAAGGGACCACCTGCTCTGACCCACGCAACCCTTCCCAGGCTAAGGAGCTGGGTCAGTGCTGTCCTGGGACAGTCTTAGAGCTGGGAAGATGAAGGCTACTGTGTGGATCCCCTGTCTCTGCTTCAGGAAATTATCATTATCTGGGCCCAACAAGGGTGGTCTTTGCCCTGGGCAAGGTGTGGGGAACCCCATATAGGCACCACGCAGAGGGACTGTTTGCCACTCTGTGCCACACTTCATGCTACTTGCACTGGGGTGCGGCGGGAAGTGAGGACACAGAACATGTGGAGGTCAGATGGCCAGTGTAGTAATACAAGCTAGGGCCACGTGGAGCGGGAGCATGGGAAGAGCATAGGTAAGAAGGACGGTGAGACAGGCCCCCCGGTGAGGGAGCTGCAGCCAGAGAGGTACTGGTCTGAGCCCCACACTTGTTGGGTCCCCATCCCCCTTACATTTCAATGCGCCACATGGCTCATCCCAGAAGCTGACACCTAAGGCAAGAACACTTGTCACGCTGCCTCTGAGTCATGTCTTCACGCCTGAAGCACACATCACCTTTGTTGCGCAATGTTTCTCAGAAGGGCTAGGGACTCCGATGTACTGCCAGATGCACAGGAGTCCTCCCCTCAACACACTGTGTCAGGGCAAGTGGGAAACAGGCAAGGGATGGTGGTGTAGGACAGAGGGACCTGGGCTCGGGGTGATCTGAGCATCAGAAGGAGCGTGGTAGCGAATGCCTGTAATTCACTTCAGCACTAGAGGGACAAAAGCAGGAGGGAAGGGAGCCTTTGCTGCACAGTGAGTTCTAGGGCAACCTGGGCTATAGAGTGAGACCCTGCCGCTAAACAAATCAAAAGGTATTATCCGCATGAGAGATTGATAAATGATAGATAGATTGTCAATGACAGATGATGGATAGGTCTCCATGCATATGTACGGAGGAGAAGGATGGCATTAGGATCTCTTTCTCTCTCCTAACATCTTTCCACGGTATCAAGCTAACAGAGAAGTCACAGGAATTGCAAAAAGCCCTGTGTTTACTGGATGTCTGTAAATGCTACTGTTCCTGTCACTGCTTTAACCTATTGTGCTCTCTGTTTCTTCCTTCCTGTTTCTATTTTTTGGTATTTAAAAATGAGTTCTGATCTATCCCCCTGTCATGTATTAATCCATGTAATGTATCATCTATATGTCTATCTATCTATCTATCATCTATCTATCTATCTATCTATCTATCTATCTATCTATCTATCATCTGTCTGTCTATCTATCATCTATCAATCTATCCCCCATATATCCTCTATACATATCTGCTACCATCTAGCTTGTTTGTCTATCCATCCATTCCAACTATCTGCCCACTCCCACTTTGATGTGGAATGCCCCCCTGTATGCTGTGAATATGTTTTATTACCATTGGTTAATAAAGAAGATGCTTTGGCCTATGGCAGCACAGAATATAGCCAGATGAGAAATCCAGAGATACAGGAGAAAGAAGGTGAAGTCAGGAAGATGCCAGCAGCTGACGAAGGAGTAAGATGTCAGAGCGTTACCAGTAAGCCACGGGGCACATGGCGATATTCAGATTATTAGAAATGGGTTGATGTATATGTAGAGCTAGTCAGTGAGAAGCCTGAGCCATTGGCCAAACAGTTTGTAATTAATACCAAGCCTCAGAGAGGACCTTCAGGAACTGGCAGGCGGGAAGGAGACCTCCAATTGCACACCCATCATTTGTCTATCACTCCCCTGTATCTGCCCATCATCGCTCTCTGCCTATCATCCATCCTTTTGTCCTTTTACACGTGTTGCACACTTATCTGTGTTTATGTCTTTCCCGCTGCTCTTCTGTGATATGAACTTGGTGCAAGCATCTTCCTCAGGAAGTAACAACTGTAGCAGCATTATCAGCCCTGCAGATCTTATTACTTCTGTCCAGCTGTTCTGCTGATGTTTGCTGTCTGAAGGAAAATGCAAGCCCAGCTTTGCAGTTCGTGGGTGCTAAGGGCTCTCCACTGGCAGAGCCTGAGTACTGTGCGCATCTAGGGTTGGACCAGAATGAAGCTGTCGCTCTCCAACTTCACCAGTCAAACTTCCTTGTTCTTTCTTCTTCGGTGATTAGATGCTGGGAATTTCCCAGGAGTCCTCAGAAGGACCCAAGGGAGAGGCCGTACCAGTCACTTGCTCGTGAACTCCATGTATGTGACTAGGGCCTGCTGGAGTCTGGCCCCTTGAGTATCTCTTTCCATGAACCATGGGACATTTTGGCTCACTGGTTTTGTAGAGTGACTTATCAAATGACACTTAGTGTCTGGTAAGCAACTCAAAGTTGATGGTGGCTTGGGGTCGTCTTAGTTTTGCTTCCTGTTGCTATGACAGGACATCCAAGATGGTAATTTACAGAGCACAGAGGTGTGCTTGACTCATAGTTTTAGAGGCTGGGGAGTGAGCTCTCCAGCGGTG